GGAGATAAAATTCTACAATAGCAGGTCGAACATATATACATATTTGATACAGTACAACCAGGTTAGCCAAAACTTGTAATTTAGATGACCAAAGCAATTGTTTTGGTAAAATTAGTTGATGGTATAGTTTGTTAATTTAGGCCTAATAAAGTTTTGTCATAACTGCCAAATTTATAAAAAAAATAAAAATAAAAATAAATTAACTTACTTCTTTTAAAAAATTAAAATTGTTTTTCTTCGAACTGGTTAATATCTTAAGTGCAATAATATTAGATAGTTTACATGCTTTTATATAATTATAATAATTACTATCAACTTTTTATATACTATCCAACCAGGTTGCAAATATCAGAACCAAATTTACCTTTATCAATTTTTTTAACATCAAATAATTTATTAAATAGAATCTATTTAATTGCATTTTCATATTTCTAAATTTTAAGTTAGAATTTTTTATCAAATATTTATGAAAACTTCCATTATCAGCATACTGAATGACAATCAAATAATCTTTTGTTTTTGTGTTATAAGTTATTTCATATATTGTGAGTTTACTAAATTTTAATTTACATTTTATAAAACTTTTAAACTTAAAGTTTAACAATAAATTAGTACAATAAACTATTAGATAAATTATTATAATAATAAATTAACTTACTTTTTTTAAAAAATCAAAATTGTTTTTCTTTGAACTAGTCAATATTTTAAGTATAATGATACTAAATAGTTTATATGCTCTTATATAATTATAATCATCACTATTAACTTTTTGTATGCTATCCAACCAGGTTGCTAAATATATAAAACCAAATCTGCTTTTACCGATTTTTTTAATATCAAATAATTTATTAAATGGAATCTATTCAATTAAATCTTCATATTTTTAGACTCTAAGTTAAAATTTTTTGTTAAATATTTATGAAGACTTCCATTATTAGCATACTAAATGACAATCAAGTAATCTTTTGTTTTTGTATTATGGATTATTCCATATTGTGAGCTTACTAAGTTTTAATTTATATTCTATAAGACTTTTAAACTTAAAGTTTAACAATAAATTAGTACAAAAAACAATTAGATAAATTATTATAACAATAAATTAACTTATATGGAAAAAATAGAAACATCCTTAGTTAACATGTTCACAAACAGAGAGGTCAAAGCCATCACCAAGTTAGGCTTAACAAAGAGTTTTTGCTCGAAAAAAGGTATAGATCAAGAAAAAATGAGTTTTTTTCTTCTCTAGAAAATATACTTTGATTCATTACTTTGCAAACTATGCAAATGCAAATATGATGCTAAAGCAAAGTTGGAATGGCCACTAAATATAACCCAGAGGAAGACAAAAGAAGAAGAGATACAAGTTGCAGGTTTAGCTTATGCTGATGATATTGCACTTCTAGCAAACTCTAAAGAAGACATGCAGAATCTAATTAATATCAAAGAATTCTTCTTTCAGCTAAATAATATTGAAATAAATACAAAAAAAAACAGAACTTCTAATAATAAACATAAAGAAGAAAAATTAGTTCTGATTAAAGAGAGAAAAGAAAAATAGTAGTAAAGAAAAAGAAAAAGATAGCTCGTTATCTTGGAGTATGGTTGACTGCAGCAAACACAAACCCACAATTAAAAAGAAACTTGGTATTGAAATTAAGCAAATAGCTAATTTACTTAGTAGAAAAAAATTTGTATAAAACAGATCAAATATATAAACAACATGGTGCTACTACCCAGAGCTAAATATAAGTTGAATATGATCATACTTTTTAAAGAAGAATGTGACAAACTTTATCAACTGATAATAAGAATAGCAAAGTGGAAAGTGGAATTGGCCTTAACTGCTTCCAACTCTATATCGATGCAAAAAGATATTTGGGTAATAAACTCTCTGTAGCAATGATATACAGAATACATGATTACTAAATGGATAGTTAGAATAAACAACCCAAATCTTATGAGAGACCTTACTAGAATGAGATTAAAAGATGCACAGCTCGGACTTTGTTCTATAGCACCAATTTGGTTTATAGAAAATGAAAAAATCAAAAAATTAAGCCTAAAAAATAATCTCAATACAAGTATATTAGTAGTAGCCAAAGATATAGAGATCAGCATCAAAAGTATAGAACTGGAAAAAACTAAAATATAGCTCTAGACAACAATCTAGTAAACGAAATAAGAATGCTACTACCTAAAGAAGAGCTAAAAAGAGGTACTTATTATCTATGTAATCTCAACCTTTAGTGCCTAGAATAAATAACTACAAGGCAAAACAATATCATGTTTATATAATAACAAATTAAAATGATTTGGAGAGTTAAAACAATAGGAAAAACTCCTTGGTGGTTCCAAAATCTAAAAGAGGCAGTGCTAGAAAACAGATCTTTTCATAAGCTAAAAAGAGTCTTTATACAAGAAAAAGAGTTTAACAAGGTTCAAAAAAAAACCAAAGAAAAAAAAACTATTTTACAAAAGATCCAAAAAAAAATAGGTAATTGGATCAAGAAAAAATGACAAGATACTATTCTTGGGCAAAATACAAAAGAAACCTTTGAACCAAAAGTTATATATAATAGAATAGAAAGAGAAAAATAAAAAGAATGAACTACCTAACAACTTTTTCACAACATGCTTAACTCTTACTAACAACATTGGGAAATTTTTTCATTGGCTAACAATCGATTAACAGATATATCTGTTAATCAATAAAAAGCACACCTGCCGATTACTAGTGATATGAGTAACAATCGATTAATTGAGTTCTATCGATTAGAATCAATTAAATTATAATTGATTAGAATCTAGACTGAAAATATGTAATTGATTAGCATAAGCCCTATCGATTAGAATTAATTTGATTATAATCGATTTGCATAATGTACAATCGATTAGCATCAAAGACTAATATTCATTGAACTTTTAGTTAGGCATGATTTATATCAGAAAATTTTTAAATGAGTAAGTACTATGTTACAGCTGTTTTCATTATTCCTAAGACATCTATAAAAATTAGCTGAATTATTTTTCGGCCGATCTGCATGATCAGTATATAAAAAATATATTTTTAAATTTGTCCAATTTTTATTTTTATTTTTATTTTTTTCTCTTTAAGGTAACCTCTTTGGTCGGTGAATTTTATTATAGTTAAATCGGGGTTAGTAGTATTTACAATGATTTTAACTATATATATATTACAACCCGCCTTAGGACTATCTTGATCATCCTCGAGGTAAACCTGACATCGCATTACATGTCCCACACATGATAGTGCATGCTCGTTCGGTAATTACTTCCCAATTAGTACATATTGTCTGCCGTCATTGTGTTCGTATCTCAAGCCATCTTTTGGGATGCTGCCATAACACAATCCATATCTCAAGTACAACCTTCCTAATTAGTCCTTCATTACTTTACTTCTACCTTATTAAGTTCATAACCAACCCCAGTACCGATATTTCTTGACGCATGAGTTCAGCTCCGGAGACATCCCTTCTTCCAATCCAGTTAGCCTGTGGAGTCCTCCCACCTCTAATGGCCAGGTTGGTGTAACCCTGCCTATAAGAGTCATAATCACTGGGCCTCCAGTTGAGTTCTCAGTAGTCTTTACTCTGTAGTATCATCAAAAGTTAGCTACTAATCTTAATTCGGAACTTCCCAAACAGGTTACTGTACGCGAAAGAGATTTCTAAGATTTACACAATCTTGAACTTATCGAGAGTTTGCATTGCCCTAAGCCGATTTGCATTCTTTCATAGTTCCTGAGTTTCCTCAGTTGTACGAATGCTAGCGGATCTTCCAGGAATACTACGCCCTGGTGTGATTTAAGTTACAGATACCCTAATCCAATCATCTTATACAGGTTACTGAAACACAAATCTATTTTTCAAAATTGTCGTCTGTGGGATTTGAACTCTAGACCTGCCGCTTGAAGAGGGTGACGACTAGACCACTTCACTAAGCCACCATGCCTCTTGTCCAATTTTTATTTTCTGTAGTATTAATATAATATCTATGTATATCATTGGCCCAATTTCAAAAATTACCATATTAAATATAATACTCTACCAATAACTGTTCTACAAATAATTTTATTATTATAATTACAACATTATTAAAATTTTGTTTGCCAATATGCTTGGTGTGTTTAATTTGTATAAAGGTTTATGGAAAAGACTGTTCTTGTCAACCAATAAAACTTGACAAGAAATATAAAAAAGGCCCCAGATATCAAATAAGCTTTTATAATAAATATATTATACAAATAGGTGCTAATATTAAAAAAGTTAGATATGATCAAGAATTTGTCAATTGACTAAAAATTCAACTAAAGTTAGCATTAAAAATTAGGAGAATTTACAAATAAGGTCCCAAAAAATTAAAATAATTACAGATCAGGACCCGAATTAAAAATAATTATGCATCGGGACCCAAATTTTAAAAATTATTACAAATCAGGTCCCCGAAAATTTGCGTGCATGAAAAATGAATCATTAAACGTAATTTAATGATTTTGTATAAATATAAATTTTGTTTAATCGATTAAACTTTTTTTTATCTTTTAACCTAATTAAAGTCATCTTTCGCTTTTATTTTTACAACAATTTATTATCACTATGTTAAGTACAATACTGCAAGTTGGAAAGACATTTACTAATATGGAAAGTGTCCGATCTGCTCTGGATAGATACTCTGTTGAAACTTCTTCGCCCTATAAGTTCAAAACTAATAGACCAAAAAAGCTCCTTGTTGTTTGTCCTACGGTCAATACTAGTACATGCCCATTTACCATTTCTGCTAACGAACGTAAAGATGGTTACATTTATATTGTGAAGTTAGTTCAACATGATGAAAATTGTCCAACACTTACACAGACATTTAAAGCACGTGGATCATACCTTACAAAGTTTTCTGCGCCATTAATTGAAGATATTGCTGCGCTTAGATCTCGTGATATAGTGAACCGTGTTCGTTCAGAAGCAGGAGTTGAAACGTCATATATGGCAGCATGGAGAAGTCTAACTGCTAATAAAAACGTAAAGCAGAAGAAATAGACAAAGGTTATCAATGTATAAAGCCATTACTTGATAATTTACTTACAGCAAATCCTGGAAGTATTTTTCATTTGAGACTGATGCTAAAAATTGATTTTCCCATGCATTCCTTTGTTTACGACCATGGGGTAAGGCTGCTGAATATTATAGAACCGTATATACTCTTGATGCGTGCCATTCAAAATCAAGCTATAGGGGTGTATATTTTTGTGCAAATGCAATTGAAGGTGAAGGAAAATTTGTTCCTATAGCATTCGCTATTGCCTTTGTTGAAAATTCGGATAATTGGATTTGGTTTTGTGAAAACCTGTATAAAGCTCTTCCACTAATGAATTCAAACGAATCCGTAATTATAAG